AGGAGGGGGAGGGAATGAGGGGGGCAGGAGATGAAGGAGAGGGAGAGAATGAGGAAGGGGAGGGAATGAGGGGGAGGGGACAGAGAAGAGGGAGAGGATGAGAAAGAGGAGGGGATGGAGGAGGGGGAGAGGATGAGAAAGGCGAGGGGATGGAGGAGGGGGGAGAGGGAGGGAATGAGGAGGGGGAGGGGATGAGGAGGGGAAGGGGATGGAGGAGGGGGAGGGAATGAGGAAGGGGAAGGGATGTAAAAAGAAGGCTGTATGGTAACTCCCCACAATGAATACAACCATTATATACTATGAACATGTGCTAATAAAATTAAAATGTGAAAGAAAAACAGGAAAAAGTTTCTGTGAACCTAAAATTATTCTAAAAAGTAAACGTCTATTTTTAGGTTCTGGCTTTTTGGAGACGGCTCTGGCTCTGCAGTTCAGGGTGGCCTTGAACCATGTGGTCCAGGCTGACCTCATCAGTTCTCCTGCCTCAGCCTCTCGGGTGCTGGGATTGTAGGTATACGCCACCACGCTCCACTGAAGTCTAAGTTTTAGTTTCATTAGCTATATATCATGTTCTTTGACACAGCCCAAATGAATAGAAACAAATAACAAAAAGATAAAATTTAAATCTAAACTGTTATGAAATGTAAAAAAAGATTCATAAATAATGCATGGGCCCCCAAATAAATCATAATGATTTGGAAAAAATGTTTCATAATAAACAATAATATAGCACATACTGAACTTTAAAAAAATGAAAGGAGTCCCAAGAGAACCACCTCTTGGGAAAGGACCTGTGTCACCTCTGAGCAAAGGGCAGAGGTTCTCTTGCAGGGGGCTGTTCACACCCAGACGGTTCCCAGCAGGCCACACTGCCACCCATCAAACTGGCCAGGGACATGTGCACACACATGTGCGGTAGGTTTCAGTCCTGCCAGGCTTGGCTGGTAGCAGCCCTGCTCCCTGGAAGATGGGGGCTCCAATGAAGAGGCTGAGGAGGGTGCAGAGCAGAGAGATCCAGGAATAAATTAGTGTGTGGCGGTCCACTCCACTGAGCCCCAGGCTGTGCCTCACCCCTGTCACTCAGCACAGCAACACCTAGACGGGGGCAGGGTGCTGTCTGCACAGACACAGAGGCTTCAGGGAAACGGAATCATGGGAGCAGCAAGCAGCTGGTCACATCATCTCCTGGGTTGTGAAGAGGAAGGATGGAAGTGAAGTCCCAGAAGGGAGACCCAGTCTCTCCCCCAGGGTTTGTCTCCTCCAGAATTCCTTGCACAGCCAGATGGGGAAGGAGATGAAGTGGCCTTATTCATAGACAATGTGATCATCTATGTAGAAAATCAAATAGACCATATAAAAACAACTATTAGGGTCAGGGACATAGCTCAGCGGCATAAACACCTGCCTGCCAAGCTCAAGGTCCCGAGTTTGATTCCAAGTATTGCAAAAAAAAAAAAAAAAAAAAAAAAAAAATAAATACAAAAAACTATTAGAATAACTGTTTAGCAAGGTTATAATATACAAGATAAATATACAGAAATCAGTTGTCTTTCCTCCTAATAATAAGCAATCAAACTGAAAAACTTAAAATATAATTTATAATAGTATAAAATATTAAATACTTAGGAATAAATACAGCAAAAGATGTGGAAGATAGTACACATAAAACTAAAATACTGTTCCAGAGAAATTAAAGAAGTGGAGAGAGAGTCTGGTTTTACGGATTGGAAGAGTCAATATTGTTAATACATAAATTCTCTCCAATTTTTTAAAATGTATTTAGTACAGAGTCTACAGGGTCTCACTACACAGATCAGACTCATAGTGATCCTCCTGTTTTCAGTCTCCCAAGTGCTGGGATGAAAGGTATGCACCACCACCACCATCGTGCCAGTCTTAGTCACCCTCTCAGCACGCCCCAGCGGCAGGGCTGGCACAGCATGCTGGGGATCAAACCCTGGTCACTGTGCCTTGCCTAAGCAGGTGCTTTAGTTTGCCGAGTTATCTGGCTGGCCCTTTCCAAATTAATCTATATATTCAATGCAGTCTCTGTCAGAACTCTAGAAGTAGTTGGGCATGGTGGCACATGCCTGTAATCTCAGTATTCAAGAGGCCGAGGCAGGAGGATCACTGCAAGTCTAGGCCAGCCTGGGTTACACAGTGAGTTTAAGGCCAGCCTGAACTACATGCAAGACTTTGTCTCAATAAAGGAAAAGAAAAAAAAAAAAAAAAAGGAACTCCAACAGGATTTTTAGCATAAGACTGAAGCTGATACATTTAATTCTAAAATGTGTATGTAGGGCTGGGGATCTGGCTCAGGTGTAGTCTTGCTTAGCATGACCCACCACCACAAGAAAAAACTAGTAAAAAATTAAAATTCAGATGCAAATGTAAAATACATAGCATGATAGAAACAAATTAGAAAAAGGACAAAGATGAAGAACCGGCAATACTACTTGTTTTCAGAATTTATCAAATTACTGTTATCAGGATAGTGTGGTTTGGGCATGAAAATAAGATAAACAGATCAATGGATCAGAACGAAGACCAAAATCAGCGTGTGGGCACTGAGTCAGAGACAAAGGAGGACATGTGATGCAGCAAAGAAACCATAATCTTCCCACCAATGGCACTGCGACAATTAGACATCACTACCAAATGGGAAACGTCCCTCCTTACCACCCTCCGGACACGGAACAGCTCCAAATGCCCTTTGCATTCCTCAAAAACTCTAAAAGAAAGCCTAAACCCTTGTGTGTCCAGATGAAAATGGCAGAGAAGTCTCTGTGACCTTAGCTCAGGCGACGCCCAAGCAAGTGGCCATGTGTCCACCAGCAAGAACTCAGGCCTACCACCCCCACCACTGGGTGCCCTCCTGACCCAAGGAGCTGGTGTCTCCAAAATGGGGCCCTGAGTAAGAAAGCAGTAGTGTGACCATGTGACTGTGCTGTGTGACTGGTCACCATCCCAACATGCCCCCTGGATCCCAAGGGGGAGCAGCACCCCAGGCTGCCAGGGGCCCCTTCTCCCCAGGCAATAAGCCTTCACTAGGCCACTGCTAGACATAGCCTCACTCCATCCCCCACACAGCTGTGAGGTGAGATCCTCTCATCCATCGGTCAGGACAGAATAAGGTGAAGGAAGCGCTGCTCAAGGTCACCAAGGTTGAGCTAGGACCTGATCCTGCACATCCTCTCCTACAGCCCACCCCCACTCCATACCCTCTTCCCAGGCAGACATTAGGGAGGAAGGGAGTGGAGGTGGCCTCCAGCTGGGCTGCTCACTTGGTCAGATGGCAGGACTTCTGTCCCCCTGGGCCGCTGTGATCCCCCCACTCTCGGGCCTACAGAGGACAGAC